TTTTTGGGACACACCTGACACTTCTCAGGGCGTACTCCTTACTTTATCCTCAGGGATTCATTCTGGTTGTCCTCGGGGGACCATATGTGTTGCTGGGAACGTTTGAAAGGTGGGTCCTTTACCTTCTGTACTTTATATCTAGTCCTTAAGGGACTATTTTAAAAGGCTACTAAAATGACAGATTGATTTAGAGTTTGAGCTCAGGGACTGGAGAGATAGCACAGCTGGCTGAATGCTTTAAGAAGGAGGCAGGGGTTTAATTCCTGACACTGTATGGTCACTCTCAAATGTGGGATATAAAAAAAAATAAACTTCATAGAGGAATATCAAATACCTAAAGGCAATAAAATGAAGAGCAGGTGAACTAGTTTTCAGTAAAAAGCTTGCCACTGGTGGACTTTGGAGATAAGGAGGAAAACTGGGGACTTTGGTGGAAGAAAGTAGACAATGGTGAAGAGATTGGTGTTGGAACATTGTATACCTGTTCATGAATATATTTGTGACTTTGTAATGCACAATGATTCAATTAAAACAGTAAACAATCAAACTAATGAACAACAAAAAAGGAATCTGAGCCATTCTATTAGCTATTGACTAGATGACATAAGAAAGACTAATAATGCTGTGCCTTAATTTCCCCTATCTGAAAATTGGGGAACATAATATTACCAGCCTCATAGAATCTGGTTAAATGAGTTTTGCTGAATATATAAAAATTTGACATGTAGACATTGTTTTATGAATATCAATTATCAATTATAATTATACATAGAATTTTATCACGGATTAAAAAATTTTAAAAGAGCCTTTATTTTATAAGTGGAAGGAGTATAGAATAAATGTACTTGGCTATGTGGCTAATAAGAGGCAAAGTTAGAAAATTACATTTCCTGGATGATATTTACTATTTTTTCTAAGGATTTAATATTTTAACATGGAAATGACTTATAAAGTCTTAAAGGTGAAAAGAACAGTTAAGGCTCTCTAGTTAAACTTTTTCAGAAGGGATCACATAACGTGATCACTTGTCAAAAACCTTTCATCATTACTAATACAGTATCTCATAGATTCTTCACCATCTAGAGAATATCCTACTAGAATGACACCAGGGCTTGAACTTGAAACACATGAGGGCTAGAAATGAATGCCAATTTAAGAACCTTTATTTTCAATAATTATCATCAGATGAAGGCATTTTTCATGTGCTTTTAAGCACATAAAAATTTTTTTTCAGGGAAAACATTATCCAACATACTCATTATATAACTTATGCAACTGTGATTTAGGTTATCCCACATATACCTGAATGTTTTGCAGATAGCATGCTTTCTGGCAGGTATCTGAAATAATAATTTTTATGATCATTCAACAATACTTTGTTGCACCTAGAAAAAGGTACAAAGGTGACTTACACATACCAAACATAGTTCTTAAAAATTTTAGCTTTTGGGGAAAAAAAAAGTTTCCACTTTCTGTGTGGTTCTCCTAAACAGTGTTCATTCAAGTTGTGCCAGCTGTGTTGGGGATTTTAAATTCAATCTAGCTAATACAAACTCTCAAGAGGAATTGCAGCAATTAAAGCTTGCTATTAAATAAGCCCAGATAAACCTGTGTGTAAAGAGCTTCTCATCAGGTGCAACAGAATGTTATTTTCTGCCTCAATTAAATGCTAAAAGATTTAATTTCTCTTTAATGAAAATGAAGTTTCAGCAAAAAGGACAGTGAAACAGCCAATAAGGGAGAAGGCTGAACTGAGTACTTGTGTGTTCACAACGAGTGTACATTCACCCCTTTTTCCTTGACAATCGAGACTAAGTGAATTCATATTCTGAGTATGATATTATATATCTGATTGTAGCACATGGATTCTGAGACTGTGACTTGGGGTTTTAAGTCCTGAATATGGATGTTTATTACTCAAATCTGTAAATCAAATGATCTTTTTTATACTGACCAATCTCTGATTTCATAGATCCCACATACCTGTTTTGTGCTTCCATGGTACTGGTACTTTATTTTTAGTGCTACTCATCATATAATCTGACTTGTTACAATGTTTTAAGTCCCCTTTATATACTATAAATTATGAAAAATAGAGCTTATTCTTGTATTATCTCAGAGTCCTACAGGCTTATAATAATGTAGCTGATCAATATATATTTTGATATTTCATTTTAGTGGCACATGTTAAACATTTCACAGTTATAAAGTGTTATTAATACATTCCCCACCTTCAGACATATATGTTTTCTTGCCATGTATGAAAATTCTTGTTTTTTAAATGTTAAAACAGTCCAATAGACTCGAGGTGAATTCCTAGAGCTAAGTCTCAGAGCGCCAAATTGAGAGTTAACTTCATTTTTGGTTTTAGCTCTCCCAGAAAAAGAAATCTTATGTAATCAATCAATCATGCAGCCTATCAGAAGTTATTTGATCAGCACTAGTAATAAAATCTAACTGAAAGATACCTTCTATCTCTCAAAGTAAAATAATCTTACGAGAATCAATCTACTTTTTTGCTTTGTACAAAATCCGTGATCCTGCTCCCTTCTGCCTATTACAGTCTTTCACTTCACATAGCTCTTGGGAGCTCCCTTCTATATGATAGATTAAATGTTCCTTAAGTTATAAATCATTGAATAAAGTCAATATAGTTTTAAAGTGGACCCAGTGGAAATATTTTTGACACTTTGTATTTATGACTACTTGCTGTGAGGAACTTGTAACTGGTGCCTACTCTCAGGGACATCTTGAAGATGAAGAGATTCAAATTTTGGTGGCAGAAAAATGAAGAATGGACAGAACAAGAAACTGAAACATGAAATTACTTAAATACAAATTTATTTCCTAGAGACCAGAGAAACAGCACAGAAATTAGGTGCTTGCCTTGCACATAGTTGACCCTGGATTGATCCCTGCACCACTAAATTGATCTAGATTGATCAATTGATCTAAATTGCACTAGATTGATCACCTGAGCACTGGCAGGAGTATGCTCTGAGTATCATCTGATGTGGTCCAAACCCCCCCCCATACACTATTTATTCTATATAAAAATAACCATGTTTACACATAATTAAAGACCCTTTACAATTTGTATGTGTGATGTTGGGGATCACAAAATGCAGGACTGTCAGAATCATGCTGGGAATCATATGGAACACCAGGGATTTGAATGCATAAACTTGAAGAGTTGCAAGACAGGTGCTCCAATTCACTGTACGACTCCCATAGAATCCCACTTGAATGTTTTTTTTCTTTTCTTCTTCTTTTTTTTGAATTTTTTTTAAAGAGGTGAGAAAAAAAACTTCAGTAGATTGACACATTTGATGGCTAGGTAAATAATAAGAAGTGCCTAATAGAAATTTGCTTAATTGTAATTTTTTTTTGGCTTTTTTGGGTCACACCTGGTGATGCTCAGGGGTTGCTCCTGGCTCTGCACTCAGGAATTACTCCTGGCAGTGCTCAGCAGACCATATGGGATGCTGTGAATCAGACCTGTGTCAACTGCATGCAAACACCCTACCCGCTGTACATCACTCCAGCCCCTGTTTAATTGTAATTTTTTAGGTTTCACGTTTTCTGTTGGACCAGGGGACCCAAACATCTCAGCTGGGCAGAAGAAAGGAAAGAACTCAGAAGAATGACTGGCAAGGTATTCGAGAAAGACTATGGTGTCTTCTCGTTAAAGAGTCAACATTTAGCTCCTATCTATCCCATTAGGATCATGGCATTCACAAGATTTTTCACACTAGCAGGTTAGTTTTGGTATTTTTAATTTGTAAGGGGCAGGGCAGGTATCTCAAGTCTCTATTCAAGGAGTACATAGCTCTTGCCCATAAGGCCCATAGTCTTGGATGGCTCCACGATTTACAGTGTCCCGTTGAAAATAAAAATCCTTGGTTAGGGAGATAGCTAAAGGGTGAGAGTCTGCCTTGTATGCTCAAACCCTGATTTTGAGCCCCCATATCCCTACTGGAGTATATACCTTTGATGACATTCTGCACTGAAAAATGGTCTGTTTGAGAAAGCAATGCCAGGAATGGTTTCTGCATGTCACCCTCTGCTGCTAATCTCTCCTGACTCCCCCCCCCCCCCATTAAAAAATGCATTAAGAATTGAAAAAAGGAGGCAGGAAAATAATTGCCCTATATAATTGTGCAGGTCTCAAGTCACAGATGAAATCAGCTTATTTCAGTAGTCAATGAATTTCCAACATAGTGAAGGGCAAAAGGTCTATCTAGAAAATATAAGCCATAACTCACGGAGGTATACCTCCATGCTTTATAAAGCATTGCAGGAACTGAAAGTGACTGCCAACTTTGTGAAATTTCCCTGACAAAGTGGACAGCTAAACTCTTTTTTTTTTTTTTAGGAAACAATAGTGGGGAAAACCAGTATTTTACACTTAAGTTAGACAGAAATTGTTGGATTTCAAATATAGCGTTACTTTTGTAGAGTGGAAAAAGTGAACATGGTGAAATAATTGAGACTGAGAATAAGGAAGAAACCAAATATATTAGAAAATACTGTATATCACATCCCTTCTCCTCTCCTTATGACATCTCGTTTTAAATTTTTAACGTCAAATAATTTGAGAAATTTATTTAGAAAACTTAAGAGAACTTATGTGCTCAAGCGAGAACACAGGCAGCTCCAGAATGGAAAAACGCCTAGAATGGCTTTTGGGAGAAGGTTTTATGCAACTCATGTCATAATTTTTAACACATAAATACTGCAGTTTCACAAATGGGTCGGGTTATGCTCCGGGTAAAAACGGTTTGGGGCACTGCAAGCCATTTCATAGCATTAGTTACACAGAAAAGCCTGTTTGAAGTTGAGCGTTCTGAATCCTTTGGCCAGGTTGCTGCTAAATTTTTGCGTTTCCATACGTGCTCCCCACAGGTCTCCAAAGTCCCAAAGTAACCTCTCCTCCCCCTAGTCCCGCCCCCGCAGTTCCACGTGCCGGAAAGCGAGCGGCAAAAACTACTTCCGGGGCAACGAAGGTCGGCTCGCGCAAGATGGCGGCCCCCTTGGAGCTCAGCTGCTGGGGAGGCGGCTGGGGGCTCCCATCGGTGCACAGCGAGTCCCTGGTAGTGATGGTGAGGCCGCCTTGCGGGCCGGGTGCCGGAGAGGAAGGGCGGGGCCAGAGGCGCCAGGCTGGCTGGGGACGGTTCGCGCGGCTTTCCCGGGTTTTTCGTGGCGCTTCGGGCCGAGGCCGGTCGGGACGCTGACTAGCGCAGAGCCCTCCAGGCGCCGGGTTACAAACTGTTTGGTGAACCCGGCCGTGGCCTTGGTGGGAGAACCATGGCCGCTCTGCGTTGGCTCCGAGTTTTCTCAGCTTTGCCAAGTTGTCGGGGCGATGAAGTCCAAGTCTGGAGTAGGGGGCGCGCGCGTTCCGCTCCGCATCTCTGGGACCCTTTAAGAAATGGGTTCAGTCTGTCTGGTAGCTGGCGCGCTGCAGCTCCAGCCCCGTAGGGTTGCCTCCCGGGGACTGGGCTTTAGTGACAGGCTGATCTGCGGGTTTGCATGCTATGCTCTTATCTAAAAGTGTGACTACAAACTCTCTTTCAGGCTTATGCCAAATTTTCTGGTGCACCATTGAAAGTCAATGTCATAGATAAAACTTGGAGAGGTTCAAGAGGTACTGTGCAAAACTTTTAAACACTTTTAAGGTTTTTTTTTGGGGGGGGAGATTTGCGTTTTAAATTATGAGGTATATTGTCACGGAGTCCTGTAGGGCCTTTGCAACGCCCTTGCCTATGTGTTGCTTTTGGTTTGTTCATTCTGAGTAATGCTTCAAAGTGCAAGCCATACCGATGGAACTTAATGACAACGAAAATGTTCTGTAGAACTACTGTAAAATTAAAGGGGGTGGAGGAGACCACACGATTTAACCAAAAAAAACCCGACCAACCCCCTCCCAAACAAAAAAACAAACCAGCCGAGATACTCATCCCACCCCCACCGTATGTGTATCTAATAGAGTTATTAATGTATTTGATTTTCTTCAGAGGAAATCGAAATGTTTACTTATATGTAAACTTATGTTTTGGTTATAGGAGATGTGCCAATTTTGACAATAGGAGACAAGATTGTTTCTCAGCCAACAAAAATACTGAACTTTTTAAGAAAACAGGTGGGTGGTACCTTTTGAAGTAGATTGTTGATCCCTGAATGCTACTTTAAAAAAGCTGTGGGTTTGAGGATTTTTTGTTTTGTTTTGGAATCATTTTGAATAACTCATTAGAGAATTGGCGGTATTTTGAGTGTAATTAAGAAATATTTAAGAATTGTTTCTCAAAATCTGGGGTTGAAGATGTATCTCAGCGGTAGAGCACAGTAGTCTCCCTTGTTTAAGGGCCTGACTTTGAACCCTAGAGTTCCTCTCAACATCCCCAAAAAAGGTGTGAATGAACATTACTGTGATTTGAGGTTACATGGTGAGAAATAGTTTTTTATTTTTATGCACTTAATTTGGATTATATTGACACAGCCACATTCACTGATGCATTTTTGATAATGGTTGTCAGTTTAGTCTCATAGTTGCCACATATTTTGTCCTGGAAAGACAGATCTTCGTTTTCACTACTTAGCAACTGTTCACTTTAGTTTTTTAAAAAACTGATGATTGCACTGAAATATTTCATAAAATAATGAACCCAAACTATTTGAATATGTAAAGATGTGGATAATTTATCAATATGTTTAATTATATCACTGCCCTCCCATTGTTCATTGATTTGCTCGGATGGTCCCAGTACCGTCTCCATTGTGACACTTGTTACTGTGTTTGGCATATCGAATACATCACGGGTAGCTTGCCAGGCTTTACCCTGCAGCGAGATATTCTTGGTAGCTTGCCGGGCTCTCCAAGAGGGGCAGAGGAATGGAACTCGGGTGAGCCATGTTGGACGTTTGCAAGGCAAATGCCCTACCTGCTGCGCAATCGCTTCAGCCCCATTTAATTATATAAGGTAAAGGTAAAGGCCCTCCCGTTGATCATCGATTTGCTCCAGCGGGCCCAGTAACGTCTCCATTGGAGACTTTGTTGTTACTGTGTTTGGCATATCGAACACATCACAGGGAGCTTGCCAGGCTCTGCCATGCGGGCGAGATACTCTTGGTAGCTTGCCGGGCTCTCCAAGAGGGGCGGAGGAATCGAACTCAGGTCACCCATGTTGGCTGCGTGCAAGGCAAACGCCCTACCGCTTAGCAACTTATAAAAGAACACAAAAGTTATCATTGGTTTTGCCAGTTTTTTTTTAATGTCAGTAAAATATAGAACTAAATCAGGTTTTCCTTTGTTTCAAGGAGAACATACAACCGATTAAGACTATTCTCCTTGTTAACAAAAATAGCAACAGCTTCTATTTAACTTTGTATTACTGCCCATATAGTGAACCAGATCCTTGACAATAATTAAAATGATAGCAAACAATCATGGCATTATTTTCCTTTGTGCATGTGGCTGTCTGTACTAAGAATTTATTATTAAATTTATTATTATTAAAAGTAGTAGCTTTTTATTTGTCATTGAATTTGCCTTTCTCATTCCCCTTTTGCAATTGTACTTGTCACTGATAAGGAAGACAAAGAAACCTAATTTATTTAACCGTTTTAGTATCCTCTTGACTTTTGAGGGTTTTTTCTTGTTCCCTTTTCTTTTTAATAGAAATATAATGCTGATTATGAACTGTCAACAAAACAAGGGGCAGATACACTGGCCTATATTGCTCTCCTTGAAGAGAAGCTTCTTCCTGCAGTGGTGAGCAGTGGTGAATATTATGGAATTTTAGTGATTTTGTTGAAAATGTACTTCATCTGTTTAGAAGAAAATTAGTGAAGAAGACTTAAGAGAGGAATTTTGACTTATGTCTTAATCTCGATTATCTCATGTCACTGAAACAGTGCTCTCTTCAGCATTCAGCTGGTTCTGTGAAACGACTAAGGGAGAGATATGCCATTTTAGAAAAACAAAAAGTTATTTTTGGAAGGTGGAGTTTATTGTTCCCTGTACTAGAATGGATGAATTGTAATTCAGTCAACAAATATTTATTGAGTACTTACTGTATGCTAGGCCTTATTGAAGATACTGAGAGATAGCAGTCAACAAAACTTAATGTTAATTTAAAATCTTTTATCCTTAAGTCATTCTTAAAGAAAAACTTGTGGGGAATTCACTTCATACAGAGAAATGTATGAAAAATTCTTTTACTGAATTATCTTTTAATAAAAGGACAATTTCATAAATTTTTAAAAATCTTCTTTCGCAGCTTCACACATTCTGGGTTGAGAATGACAATTATTTTACTGTGACAAAGCCATGGTTTGCTTCACGAATTCCGTTTCCCTTGAATTTGATCCTGCCTGGACGAATGTCCAAGGGAGCATTGAACAGGATTCTCCTGACCAGAGGCGAGCCTCCTCTCTATCACCTTCGAGAAGTAGAAGCACAGGTATGGTCAGAACTAATTTCAGAGTGAGGGCCCTGTACAGCAGCACAGAAAAGGTAGCTCAGATGACTTTGCCCCACAGATGCTTACCTCGAAGGTAATTCGAGAGCATCTTCCCTACTTTGCGATGTAATTTCATCTTTACTAGATATACAGAGATGCCAAGGAGTGCCTAAATCTTCTGTCAAACAGATTGGGAACATCTCAGTTTTTCTTTGGAGATACGTAAGTATATCCCCTTAAAAAATTCTGATATTTCATATTAGTATATTCATTGAATAGTCATTTAAAGCTAGTCCCCTTGGGGCCAAATTGATAATTCAATGGATAGTGCAGGGAACTTGCCTTATATGTGGTTGAGCCATGGCTGACCTGGGTTTGATACTGGCATAGCAAATGGCCCCTTAGTACTACCAGGAGTAATTCTTGAATGCGGAGCCCAGAGTAAGCTCTGACCATTGCCAGGTGTGCCCCAAAAACCTTAAAGAAAACAAAAGAAAAGAAAAGGTCTTTTTCCTTTCCTTCTGTAAATCAGGTTCTCACTAAATAAAAGATTTATGGATTTTTCTCTTAAGAAACATATTCTCATGTTGTCACTAGCCTGTACGTGATACTTGTAAAGGTGAACCTTTTACAACCCAATTTTCTTCTGAATCGAATATTGAGGGAATAATATTGTTTTTAAATCACCAAGTAAAATCATAATTATATTCTTTTTGTTTGTTTTTTGTTCATGCCCCACAATGCTCAGGGATTACTCCTTGTTCTCCGCTCATGAATCATTTCTCATGGGCTCAGGAGCATTAAATGGGATGGGATGCTGGGGACCAAATTCTGGTTGGCTTCATGCAAGGCAAGTGCAATACCTTCTGTATTGTCACTCCAGCCTCAGTTATATCATTTTTTATAAGCTAAAATGGGTAGTATACTTTTTTAAAGACCATACTCCTATATGCTTAAGAATTGGCAAATATATTTGAGACAAAAAGAATGTTAAATATAATGTGAGGTTAATATTTTCTTCAGTGCTCAAAAACAGCCTTAATTTGTTTTTAGGCCTTCTACTTTGGATGCGTATGTGTTTGGTTTTCTTGCACCTCTTTATAAAGTACACTTTCCTAAAGTTCAGTTACAAGAACATTTGAAACAACTCTTCAACCTGTGTCGCTTTTGTGATGACATCTTAAATAATTATTTTAAGCATAGTATTGGAGGTAAGCCAATTCTTCAACTAATCCTGATTTGCATAAGAGTATTTCCATATTCTCCTAAGGATGTATAAGCAAAATCATGTATTAAACAAGCTTGTGTATTATCTTTACATGCTGGTTTATAATACTTCAGAAAGTTGTTTATTTGTTTTTTAACTTAATTTTATTCCTATGTGGTTGGTCTTATTTTTGTAGAAAAATAAACACTTATCCTTATTCTCAATTTTGTATGTTTTGTGTTTCTAGTTCTTTAAATATTGCACTATTGTAGTAGGTCATTTCCTTCTAAAAGAATAAACCATAGGTATTTATTGAATCCCTGCTGAAAGACAGCAATTATCCTAATGCAAATGGGCAGTTACTTTAAATGTTGCTTCTAGCATTTTCCTGCGTGAACAGAAATCAGCAGCAGATTGATTTTGGTGAGGTACATTCCCATGATTCCACTACTTGAAAACTGATTGCATCAGCCTGGAGGTATAGTAACTAGAGGGCACCTGTCACATAGTGTATCATTCTTTGGGAGTGTGGGGCATTGTGATTGGGATGATAAATTTATACTGGGAGCACTGATGCAAAGTACCCCACTAAGAAACAAGGTAAAAGAATAAATGGCTCAGGCACAATATTTTTTATGGTGGGTTATATGTTTTAGTGAAGGATTAATAATTTTGAGAGTCATGAAATTAACATTTAAATCTGTTCATTAATGATAGAACAGTGGTTAACAGTGCTGATTATACAAAACAAATGCAAAAATCTTGGATCTTATTCTACTTTTAATGAATTAAAATCTCTTAGGAATAACTCTTAGGAATTTGTATTTTTTAAGTCTCCAAATATTTCAGTTGCCTAGTGAATGCTATTTGGGAATTGCTGCCTTCAAAAGCTATCCACTAATTGTAACTAAATATATATTAATTTAAGTTGGTGAGGAAAAGGTGTGACTTAAATTTGGGGAGGAAATGAGGACTTGCTCTGCTGTTTTACTAATCACTGGTCAGCTGCATAATACTTGTCCAACAAAGTCTAGTGGACAAATTTTGTCCTTTTGTTTAGGGTTTAATTTTGGAGCATGCTTCACTTTGCCTTTGAACCCAGAATGAATTTTCTCTTTACCTTGTTTGTTTTGGTTGTGGGACACTTGGGAAAATGGATAGACGAAAAATACTTTCAGTCTAAACAGCTTTAAAGGCTTTCAAAGTTTCCTCTCTTCTGATTTCTGCCCTGGCTTCTTAGGCGTCTCTCCTGGTGGACAAGAAACGGTAGATGCAAATCTGCAGAAACTCACACAACTTGTAAATAAGGAATCCAACTTGATTGAAAAGGTCAAGTCTACTTCAATCATTATTTTGTAGTGGTTTAGTATTTCCTTTTCTGTAACTAATTTTGTAATCTGGGTTTGCATTAACTTTCAGTATTTTCTTTAAAAACCAGATTTCTCAAAAAGATTTTTTTTAATTTCACATTTATTAAAGTTGTATGTAATATAATGTTTTGAAGCCATAGTGGCCTCTGATTATGGTATTGAGTTTACTTTCATCACATAATTAGTATTTTTTGTTTAGAATTAAAAAATTTATTTTGTTAATAGTTTTTGTTTTATTGTTGTGTTTCTGTAACATGTTTATAGTAATATTGATGCTTATGGTCTTGATATACAGTTACTGCATCTCACCATTGTCAAGGTGCCCAGTACCATCTATCATTGTGCTTATATCCGTTCTAATATAACTTTCCACCCCTCCAACCCCCATAAATTATCTCAGATTTGTAATCCAGCACCAAGGGTTGCCAGAGATCCTTTCTATTCTCCTATTTTGTTTAGGTATCACAGATGAGTGAGATTATCTTGTGTTTGTTTTTCTCACTGAAAAAATTAACTTACCATGACATTCTCCAGTTCCATCCAAGTTGCAGCAAGCAGCAAGATTTCATCTTTTCTGATGGCTAGCTAGTATTCTATTGTGCAGGTGTGCACAGCTCTTTTATCCATTTTTCTCTTATTGGAAATTGCATAATCAATAGTTTTTTAACTAGGAGAAATAGAAGTCTTCCTCAAAAAAAAAAAAAAAAAGAAAGAAAAACACACCCTTGCTTCCCTATCTTTGAAGGTTAGCAGTTCTTGAGAGTGTAATCAAGCGTGGTTATCTTCTTATTTACAGCACCACCATGTCTTTTTCTTCTGTCTACATAGCTGTTAATTTTTTTTTGTCTTCCCTTTCCTTCTCAGTTCTAAGTATAGTATGAATTTTCACCAGTATGGATATTTTGCCACTTAAGAGGTGTTTAATTGATGAGAGAAAAATTGCTAAGGGAGAGACCCATCAATGAAAAATTCAAGGATGGATCTAACAGGAAAAATACAAGCATTTCTCTACTTTCTAAATATATGAAAAATTTGCTTTTCTTTTTCTTTTACAAATAATATTCCTTTGCTCAGTAAAAAACAGATATGAGCAAATAATGTTGATTTGCAGGGGTTCTTTTCATTCTTTTCATTTTTCTTTTTGACTAACAGTGTTTAAGGCCTTAGTTTTAGATGCATTTTTTTTTTTGTGAACTCATTTAATCCTCACAGTATCTCCGTATGCAAGTACTCTGTCATCCACTTTTTAGCAGATAAAGCTATTAAAGCTTCAAAGGTAGCTTTTGTCTTGCCCACCATTCAGTTGTCAAGAGATAGAGGGAATTTGAGCCCTGTATATTGGGCTTCAGCATGGATTTTGCTTGCTGTTAGCCATCTAACTTATGAATGAGTTATATAGCCTCATCCATCTAACTTATGGATGAGGCTCTGTATGCATTAGTAGTAAAAATAGTATCTAGTATCTAGACTTATACAGCCATTCTCTAGAGTGATAGATCCATTTCTTTCTACATTTCCTGCATTGTTCTGAGTGGGGAGTAAAATTATAGGGGTTTATAAGAACAGTAAAATTAGAAGGGTTTATTCCAAGAGTTTGAAAAGAGGAAATAAAGCCTACCTAGTTTGTCTGAATTCTAGCCTGACTCAGTCTCATGCGAGGAGATACACTGAGGGTTAAGTATGGATAATGAAATGATTGCTTGGATTGTTTTAGACGAATCTGCTAGACAAAGGCTCTCCAGTGTAGTTGACATTTTCTGTACGTGGCAAATTCGTTAACAGACATAAAGGGAGCTAAGAGGTTGTGTACTACTTAGAATATATCTGTCTTGGTCATCAATACATGATAGTTTCCTGACTTTATTTTAGGTATTCCCCCATCCCACATTCATCATGCCCTTCAGTATGGTTCACTGTACAAGACAATAGAGCAGCAACTCTGGTTATTACTGTTCACCATTTGGACAGAAAATCTAGAACTTAAAAGAACTATGATGATTGAGAAACTTAATTCTCACAAGAAAACAAACCAGCTAGGCGCTGGAGAGAGAGCTTAATGGGCTGAGATTTGCATGCAGAGAGCTTGGATTTGAGCCCTGGCACTGCATGGACTCCTGAGCATCACCAGGGGCTATCCCTGACCAGCCAGGAATGGCCCCAGAACCCAAACCAAAAGCAAACCTGCTCGTTTTGGCAGCACATATACTAAAATCAAAAGCAAACCCAAAAAATAGAATTTTTTTTTGCTTTGAACGCTTTATTATTTTAAAAAAATTTAAAAAAATTTTTAATTGGATCACCATGAGATGCACAGTTACAAAAATTGTTCATGATTGGGTTTCACTCATACAGTGTTCCAACACCCATCCCTTTACCAGTGTACATTTCTACAACCAATGTCCCCAGTTTCCCTTCTGCGACCCCCTCCCCCCGCCCGTCTGTCTCTGTGGTAGGCATTTTCATTTTCTCCCTCTCCCTCCCTTTTTTCCCCTCTCTCCTTCTCTCCCTCTCCCTCTCTCCTCTCTTTCCCTCTCCCTCTCCCCTTCTCCCTCTCTCCTTCTATTTCTCCTTCCTCTCCCTCTTCCTCTCTCTCTCCCTCTTCCTCTCCCTCTCCTTTTAGGCATTATGGTTAGCAGTACAGATACTGAAAGGTTATGTTTCTTGACCTACTTTCAGCACGTAGTTCCTATCCAAAACAATCATTTCTAACTATCTTTGTGAAAGTGGTCCCTTCTTTATCCCAACAGTTTATGATAGGAAAGAAAGAAAGAAAGAAAGAAAGAAAGAAAGAAAGAAAGAAAGAAAGAAAGATTCTGACATGGCAGATTCAGATAGTTCACTGGGTTCACTGGGAATACATTTTTTCCATTGGAAAATTAGAAGTTACTCTTTCCTTTCCTATAGATCCCCTGTATGCTTGCGGAAACATTCCCCCTCTGCTTTATAAGAGTATCTTAAGAAGTCATGGAGATCTATTCTGCACATATTCAAAATTCTGAAAAAATCTACTTTCCAAAGAGTAATAAGGTGCTATTTTTGTTGTTTTGGGGTTCGTGATGTCATTAGCTTTAAAGTCTTATGAAGTTAAGCTGATCATGAACTCATTGCCAGGACCTGAATTTTGCATTCTGTGGGATACTCTGGTTAAAGATAGTTTTCTGATGCCTGATTCAGTTATAAATAAACGTTTTCTAGTTCTTTCCAGGGATGTAAATATACTCCTAGGGGTAAATCAAAACTCCTGGGCATTTTCACAATATGCTCTATATGAATTTGTTTCTCAATAGCAAATTTAAGACTGAATCTGGCCAAGGAATGCTTTCGGTTTAGGTCTCAAGAACTTTTGCTCCTGTCTGTTCACTCTAAATACTTAGAATCTAAAAGAGTTGGGTGCTTTGAGTGGAATGTAGGTCATGTTCATTAAGGCAAAGTATTAGTGTTAGAATGAGACCTAGGTCCAAACTTAAGCTCTAATACTAGCCTTGCAGTGCAATGCAAATTCCATAATCTTTCAGAGTTTCTTTTTGCTAATCTATAAAATAGGGAATGATTATGTCTGCCTTTTTTTGCTTCACAAGAGTGTTGGAAAATCAACTGAATTGCATAGCTATTAGGTAAACTGTGAAGCTCAGAGCAATAGAAGTATTGCTTTTACACTTAATATTAGAAGTTGTTTTTTTTTTTTTAAAAAAAGCTAAGTCATTCTGTGGTTGAATTCAATGGAATATTTGTGGAATTACTATAGTTTTGAGAAGGTATGAGGGATGAACCATGCTTGCTTTTATGCATGTAATGAGTCAGCTGGTATTTAAGGCATGACATTTAGAATTCTTGAGAGATTATTGCAAGGAAAAGCACTGGTGTCTATCCATCTTAGACACTTCTGACTCTGTATTCTTCTAGGCTGTAGTTCAACGTGAGACCTCAATCCACTAAGTGATGCCATAGCCATTAATCATTTGTACCTTTCGTGCTTTCTACAGATGGATGACAATCTTCGCCAGAGCCCTCAGCTTCCTCCTCGTAAACTACCAACCCTTAAACTGACTCCAGCAGAAGACGACAGTAATTCCTTACAACGGCTCTCACCCTGATGCCAACACATGCTCTTTGTCCAGACTAAAATGGATGTTGCAGTAATCTCTTAACCTAAATGTATGAAGGCAGAAAAATGCCGTAGTAGGTATAAGGAAGACTCTAAAACAAAAGAGACTTTCTGTGATTATCTTTTTTTAATTAGAAAGCTTGTATGTTAGCTTCTGGCAATGCACTTTAAATAACATCAATGTGAATGCTAATGAACTTGGGGGGAAAGCGAACACTGTACTGTACATAGAAACAAACAAACAAACCCTGCCTTAATCTTGGCAGATTTTTGCCTTTGGTTCACATGTTGCTGACCAAAAGCTACAGTTCTGTTCTGAATGTGCACTCCTAATTTATTCAATTTAATTTATTAATTTAGTTTTCTTAGGTGAGTCTGAGTATCTAATATGTGGCTCTTTGGCTGAGGCTGTTTTCTGTTTAGAAATCTGATGCCTACTTTGAGCATTAAGAAAATACAAATAACTTCAGTAGAAAAGTATGTATTCAGCTTTTAAAAGCAATGAAGAATGTGCTTTATAATTATGTGTATAAGTCTTAACTTTTCAGGGTTTAGTATCTATAAATATCAAAGGTGACGTAATATATATCTGACTATAAGCATTTATATGACATTAATGTTTTATGGTAAGTTTAATGTAGATAAGCAAGGGCTCTTTCGTTAAGTGTATGTGGCAGCTTTAAACCTATATATTTGTGGTACATCTTTAACTTCAGTCATTTCTTTCCTGATTGATTGCAGGCGATCTGAGTGTATTGGTTGCCATTATTATGCCTGGCCTGAGAGTCTCCCTGAGGCTTGCTCGGTTGTTAGTGAATACTCAGGAGCCTGCCTAGGGCGTGGTGGAGGTGATCTGTGTTCTCATGTTTGGCTCAGACCTGTTAGTATTTCATAAGCCTATCATGTAGGTATGATACCTGATTTTCTTCCATATAGTCTAGCTAAAGTTATCCAAAGAATAATGGGGGGGGGGGGGTAGCTGTAGATTTTTAAGCTGTTGAAGACTATTTTCTATTTATTGGTTATTGAACTGGTGAGGGATTTACTGTGCAGGTGATTTTCCTCTGAGTTGACTCTTGATTTATGGCTGAGGTGCTTCTGCTGTCCTAAAACTGCTTCTGGGGTTTTTAAAATCTAGGACCATGCTTCTTGATTAGTGTCTTAAAAGTTTACTATGGTGCTCAGTAAATCTTATCCATGCTCCACTGAGACCCCTGTGTTAAGAAAACAGCTTTGTAGTCCAGAAATTCATCTTGTTTGAACTAATTGGAGTTCAGTTACATTTTACTAGCATCTCCCAATTTGTTCTATATTTACATAGCTATTTATAGAGTGATATTTAAGACATTTAAATTTCTTTTTTTCTTGGAAATTTTAATTAAATGGGAAATAAGACCTTTCCAAAGTCTTGTTCATCCATTTGGATGCATTTAGGGAAATACCCAATGAGTTTTACATAACTTCTAGAAGAGGTGGAAATGTGTGTATAAGTGAGTGAATGAATGTGTGGGTGGGTTTTTTTGCCTTAATCTTCAGAAACAGGTTTTTGAGATTTTGGCAATCTGAAGACTGTCTTGAGTATATCATGTTGAAAGTCATGATTGTGGAACTTTATTGGCCTCTAGGATTGATGTATATTGCAGAAGAGTGGTTAACACTTTAGTCAGACATCTGTTTATGTTTTAGACAATGTTAGTCATTTTCAGTTATGATTTATATTAAACATTCCAAAAGCACTTGAAATGGCTTGCAGTTGTAAAACACACGTAAAACAAGACAATCAAAATTAGATTTTGAAAGAATTAAATTTATAGGAGAAAGTGATCTACTAGCTCTAATAGATTCTGTAATCAAATGCAACTTTAATGCTCTGCTTCTCCATGATAGAGTCATGGAGATAGAGTCACAAAAAATAAATTAAAATTTTACTTTCAGTATAACAACTAACATCCATAGTTAAAAAAATACATTTAAATTTTGTAAGAATTTGGGGTATAATCTTATCACACACATACTTCATTAGATAAGTGTACTGTAATGTTTCAAGTGTTGTAAGTTTAATTAAAAGAGGCTGCTTTAGAATAATTATTTGTCTTTTTTAAAAAAAAGCTAGAGAGGACAATTTTAAACATGACTCATTTGCTTTGATCATTCCTGCTTTGGACTGCCTTTAGCCTTACACTGTGTAGTCTGTGATGCTCTCTTTCTATCTTTCCTAAGATACCAAATGTGGTTTTGATAAAGTGAGAATTTCTATGTTGGGTTACTTGATTTTTTTTTTGGGGGGGGGGAGGAGGAAAGGGTATAAGATACCAAGATGCTGTGGCTGGTCCCTAAGGACCAGCATAGAGGAAGCATTAGGAAAGGAACAACTTTCTATACTGAATATAGAGCTTATGATCATTCTGTTAGAATATGCTTTGGATAAAGTTTGAATTTGCTAGGGAAAATGATGTATAGACGCAAAATAAAGGCCACATATTTTGGATGATGGTGGTGGAGGATAAAATGAAGAATTGGGAAATGTGTTTGTGTTTGTACTTGTTGGTAATGTAGGATTAGAAAATTATTCATAATTAATCATAAATCAAAAGTCTCCATCAGTCATCAGTCCTCATAAGTCTAAAGAAATGATAAGGAACAAGGACAGACCATCTTCACAGTGGGCTTTGTCCCTTAAAAAATGCTGGCTTTAACACAAAGCAAATTCTACATAGATATCTCATAGTTTTGGGGGGGAGTACAAGAGGATTGGAGATTTTATGTTAGATCCAAAGTATTTTGATTCTCGTTTGTCATTTCTGTTCATTTGCTATTGCTGAAATAATTAGAAAGTATTTTGATACATTATATTTCTAGGACGAATACTTTAATCAGAACTAAGTCATGGTATTCAGAAATCTGTAGGAGTGGAAACAAACTAGTTATCCAGTTTGATAGAAATTGGTTACTGTTAGTTATCTCAGAAAACTGTAGCACTGTCCTCCCTTGTTCATCGATGCGGGCACCAGTAATGTCTCACAACAAATTGTGAGACTTGTTGTTACTGTTTTTGGCATATCGAATACATCAGGGGGAGCTTGCCAGGCTTTGCCGTGCGGGTGATATACTCTCGGTAGCTTGCTGGGCTTTCCGAGAGGGGCAGAGAAATTGGGTCAGCCACATGCAAGGCAAAATGCCCTTACCCGCTGTGTTATCACTCCAGCCCCAATACACATTAACCAGATCTGCTAATTTTTTAAAATATATTAGTTTTTCTGTAAACTCAAATGTTAACCCTTTAAAATATAGTTGTTTACCTGGAAAGACAGAAAAATTATCAATGGGTCCACAGTATCTCTTTGTCCTGTTTCACAACTTTACATAAATATGTAAATCAGTGATACCAGAAATAGGAAAACATTGAAAGGAAATGCAAACTGCAGTTTAAAATATAATGCTTTCCTTCACTTTATTCTTGAGCTTAAATAGAAAAACAATCCAGATTTGTAATAAATAATTATCATAGATTCATTTTGCTTGAATCAGAAGAAAAAGCAGCCCCCTCCCCCCCCCCCCCCCCCCCCCCCCGTAACCAAAACTCCTTTTCCCTGGGATATCAAAAATTCCGTGACTTTTCCCTTTGTAACTATATCTCTTCCTTGTTATGGGACCTTACTATGCTTGCTAAGAGTAAGAAATCTTTAAAAACATCCTTCTGCCTGGTAGTTTTTCCTTGCCTTATCTTTGTTCTCCTGTAGGCAGTGGTGTGATGAGGGGTGTTCTGGGCCATGCTGTGATGAAGGAGCAGCATGCCTGAGACTTCGTAATTGACTTTTTGTTTTTTCTATAACTGAAATCCTGACTGGAACCACAGAATGAAATTTGGGTTGTAATCATGGTCTTCTATATGTGCTATGTGCTATTGGCATTAAGGTTTTTTGATCCCCCTCCCCCCCTTTTTTCTTGTTGAACACTGTGGAATTTACATTTACTTTCAGTGTTTTCATATTTCTTAAGCAGATTATTAATCGTGGGTTGTATTCATGATCTTCCATATGTGCTGTTGGCATTAAGATCTTTAAAATTATTTTTCCTTTTTACTTATTGAACACTATGGAATTTACATTTACTTCCAGTGTTTTCATATTTCTTAAGCAGATTATTAAGAAAATTGTGTTCAGTTAAATGAACCAAATGCCATTGTTAGTACCTCTAAAGGTTTAGTTAAGGTTCAATTTTACCTTCAAAATGTTGACTTTTTAAAAAGAGAGATGATGTAAAGATAACTTTTTTCCCCTTTAGGTTTGCAAACATAATTTCACACAAAACTCTTTGTAGGTGTGTAATTTTTGCTAAGAGACCAAGTTACCTGCCTGACACTTAAATTTATTGTGACTGAGATGGGGAGGAATCAAAAGACTACAGGAATTGTTCCAGACAAGAAAACCAGTGATTACTGATGATAATATTCTTGATCAATGATTTGAGTAAGAGTAACTTTCAGTTGGGCATTTGTAAATAGAGTATTTAAGAGGAAAACAAATCAGGTTTTAAAAACATACAAGGAGGAAAAAAAGAAAAATAAAACTTTATAATTTCATTATTATTAATTTGAAATTACACTCTAAAATGTTTAAAGATCGTTTGTTTTGGGACCACACCTGTCAGTGCTTGGGCTACTTCTGGTGCTGTGCAGGGTCAATCCCAGCAGTGCTTAGGGGGACCGGTGGTTCTGGGGATCCAACTGGGCCTTCTGCATGCAAAACATGTGCAATAGTAGTAAGGCAAAGAAAGTTTAAATATTTTCAAGTCTTATTCTATTATTGAAGACAATGTCTAGGCAAGAATTGTATGTTTGTGTTTGCATTTTCTAGGCTGAAGGTTTACATTTTTCATTTAAATTCTCAGCTGTTTGTTTATCCTAGAAAAACTAAACCACA